ATGCAGTTTATATTCTTTGTCTTAGCTTATCTGTACTACAACCTTTCACCCAGGTACTGTATTATTCCACATTATAGAGGAAGGAAGAGAAGCTTAAAGAAGTTCAACATCGTTGCCAAATTCATTCATCTAGCAAGTTGTAGGTGGATTGAATCCAGATTTGTCTATGCAGCAGGGCCCTCGTAACCAGTGTGTCATACCACTTCAAGTTTAGCGTAGAGGACAAGCCTATAAACAAACCAAACAATGTATATGCTTCTATGTGCTACAATAATGGTGTGGACAGAGAGTAGGCGAGATTAACCAAGGGGAGCTAGGACAGGCCTCACAGAGAAGGTGATCAGCTGGTAAGCCAGGGAAAGGCGCCAACGTCACAAAGGCCAGGAATGGCAAACAGCTTACAAATGAAGCCGTATCATCTAGTTAAGAAACCATGGATTAGGAATAAAGGAAGGCAGAGAAGGCAATTTTTCCATTCATGAAACATTTTGACAGAAGATCATGAAACATTTACTATGGTCAGCATTGTGTCAGGGGTAAAAAAATGGATATAATGTGAACCCTTACCAGGCTCATCAGGAACAAACTGTGAGATCATGGCAAAGTGCCTTCATTACAACATGAGCCTGATTCTCCCATTTGGGTACACAGGGATTCTGAGCACAAACTCCTAGTCGCTAGTCACATGTGGCTATGTAATTTTTAATTTTAATTATTAAAATTAAATAAAACTTAAAACTCAGTTTCTCAATATCACTAGCCACATTTCAAGTGTTCCATATTCTCATATGGTTAGTGGCTACCATATTGGTGGTACAGAACATTTCTTTCACCTCAGAAAGTTCCCTTAGATGGTATCCCTTTAGAGAAACTACTGAATGCTAGAGACTCTCTACTCAGAAGAATTTTGCTTTCCTTTGCAGGAGGTCTCAGACACCCCAGGTGTCTGTCTGTTCATGTGTTCCTGTTTAAAATCTCTTCCTAGGAGTGCCTGGATGGCTCATAGGTTAAGTGTCCAACTCTTGATTTTGGCTCAGGTCATGATATCAGGGTCCTAAGATTGAGCCCCGCGTTGGGCTCTGTGGTCAGTGGGGAGTCTGCTTGAGATTCTCTTCCTCTTCCTCTCCCTGTGCCCCTCCCCTGCTTGCGCTCTCTGTCTAAAATAAATAAATAAATCTCAAAAAAAAAAAAAGTTCTTCCTAAACTCTCAGGGAGCATTACCTATCATAAAGGAGTCCAAATTCCCCCACTTTTTGATAGACTGATTCCAGAAAAGCACTGATAAATCAAATTTATAGGTATATATTCATATATTATTATTCCCTTTAAATTGTATTAAAGTAGAAATAAATTTACCTTTTTAGAAAGCATATTTTAAAGTTGATCTACTCTTCCCATTCCACATCTGATGCTCTATCAGAAAGTTCTGGTATTTGTTTGCTTGTTTTTGTCCCAGCCCTTGACATCTCTACACACACACACACACAAACACACGTGCTCGCTTGTATAGGGAATGACTGGGGGGGCCTTTTGTATCTGTATTCTGTCTTGTTCACTATTTTATTCTCAGAGACTAGTACACTGTCTGGAAAATAGCAAGTGTTCAGTATATATTTATAATTGAAAGAAGTATCCTATAACTTATGTTTTCAAAACAGACCAAGTGTTAATAATTACTAATTAACTATCAGTTAACTAGTAAAATCAGGATTTTGCTAGGCTCTTTAGGAAACAAACATGTCTTTCTGACATCCAACTTATCAAAACCTTTTCTCAACTACTTTATTCTATATTCAGAACTACCTTATGAAATAGTAGATAGCAGGTAGCAAATACCTGGGAACAGGTAATTGATGGGGTAAGATCAGTTGGAGGATAAAATTCAGCAATAAGTGTAAGTGAAACTAATGCTTTTAATGCTTTTCAGTTCTTTTCAAACCTATTCACTCAACAAATTTTAGTCATATTTAATTATGAAATAGATTAGGATTTTGCTTATATTTTCTCTCTTCTTTTTGCTGTAATCATACTGTCTTTTCATATTCTTCTATTCTGTGGTAATAAGACAAGGCACCATTGCCAAAACTTTGTCAGATATACTGACTCAATGCTGGTTTTATATGGAGAAGTCAGGCATAAAGGACAGGAAGTTAATTTTTGCCCAGATATGTATACTTTGTGCTTCGACAATCTTTTTCTGGATCAATGCAGAAAGCATTCTTTTCAACAAACTTTTGGTATGCATATATTCCATTTTGCCATGATAGAAGAGCCCTGAATTCTCATGTCCATAGTCTATTAGTCATATACTTATGGAGATTTTAGATATAAAGGAGAACTATAAGGTCATCAAACATGAAGTCTTTTCTTTAGAGATGAGCAAAGCGCAGCCCAGGGAGGATAGGTAAGTACCATGTAACAAGACTCAGAACACCCAGGGACCTAGAGTCAGGGAAGACTTCCCAAGAGAAACTATAATTAAAAGGAAATTTAGAGATAGATAAGTGGAGAATAGTGAGATGAAGCCCGGTGAGCAAATGGCTGTGTTGCAGAAGGTTCCAGGCTCAGGAAGCAGCAGAGCTCGGGGTGGGGAAGGGAGGTCCTGAGTCTGGAGGCAGCAATGCACATTCAAGGATTAGAGAAGCCAAAACAGGAGAAATGGCTGGAAAAGAAAAGGTAGGATCATGTGGAGCCTCGCACACCTGGTTGCAGCTTACCTGTAAGCAGAGGCATTGAAGGTACTCACCAACTGAAGTACAGAGGGAGGAAGAGAAAACCGTGTACTATCATGCTTTCAAGCATCACACATCTGAAATTATCCCAGAGAGGAGTGATTTAGCACATGGCTTTGAAGTCAGACTATCAAAGTCCAAATCTCAGCTATTTAGGTATGTGGGAATAAAGTTGCCTTACTTCTCTGTGCCTCAGGCTACTCATTTGTAAATGAGGATCCTAATGTTACTCACCTCATAGGATTTTGAGAGAAAGAGTTGAAAATATACAAGTGCCTGGCACTAGGATGGAGTCTCTAAGAGTTTGCTGATAGTAGCAGTAGCGATAATAACAACCACAACTATTTTGGGGGCACTGCAAATATATAGATGCGTAGATCCACAGTCCCTAATTGACAGTTCTAAATTCCAAAAGCTCTAAAAACTAAACATTTTATCCAAAGTTTGACACAAACTTCTCTGGTGGCAAAACCTGACCTGAATGGATGTGAGGATATTTATGGCCTTTATTCTGTGTCGTATGAATATTTATACATTTCACCATGGAAAATATTGCTGTGTTTGATTCTGAGTTCTGTCCCAGACCACGCAGGGAGAAATAACACTGTGGTCTGTTCTAAAACACAAGCAATCAATTCTGAATTCCAAAACATGTGTGACCCCAAGGGTTTCAGATGAGAAACTGTGGAATAATCTGTATTACCTCAATCAATCCTCAGCATAACCCTTGATCTAGATATTTTCATCCCAAGCTTGCTGCCATCAAAACTGGGGTTCATCAGTAGTTTCAGTAATTTGCCCAAAGTCCCACTGTTCATCGGAGGTGGAGTTGGAATTTCGGTCTAGGGTTGCCTGACCATCCTTTGAAGAATTGGACACATTTGTATATTCTCCTCTATCTTATTTAGTTTATTAAATTTTTTAGTGTTTTGCATAGTTTAAATATTTTTATTTTCTAGAGTAGTAGATTGTGTTTCTAGGAAATAGAAGCATTTTCATAACCTGATAGTTTTCTAATACCTAGAGGTTTTATAGATAAAAGGCTCATTTTGTAATAATGGCAGTAGAATAATAATTATTATTACTATTTTAATGACAACTATAATTTATCAGGCACTCCTTGCGTGCCAAACATTTAGCAAAGTGTTTGGCATGCATTATCTTGTTTAATTCTCACATCAACCTAATGAGGTACCTATTATTCCTTGTTTTATGAAGAGAAATTCGATCCTTAAAGACATTAAATAAATTACCAACATTGGTAAGTAACAGGACTGGGATTTGAACCACACAATTCCAGCCACTGCATTCTTTTTTTTTTTTTTAAGCTCCTTCTTTGTTTTACCATGATTAAAATACTAATCTACATGGCAAAGTTACAGTGTAAAGACTGTGCAACCTCCCACCCCAGAAAACAAAGCAACAATCTCACTTTCCAGTCACCATCATCCAGTTTCTTTGGTATCATGCAGAAATTTGCCTTGTGCATGCGTGTGCACACACACATTGTTCTTTTAATACCCACATAAATATATACATTATTCTATAGTTTAATAATTTCAAATAGCATCATATCATAGAAACCTTTCTTTATCAGTACATATAGATCTAAATCATTGTTTCACATCTACATAGTATTTCAGTGCATAGACATAATGTAATTTATTTAAACCAGACTCCTATTGGTGGATATTTAAATTGTTCCTGATTTATAGTTTTTATAGATGTTCTTGCACATGGACATCTTTACAGAAGCCTTTCACACAGATACATGCCTATCTCTAAAATAAATTTCCTTGCAGTCTAACTGCTGGGTTAAAAGAGTATTTGAGTTTCAAATGCTGAAAGATACTGAAAAATTGTCGCCTAAGAATGTTGGCTTTTCTAAGAGTGTTCTATCGAGCATTTTTAACCTTTACTCATTTGAGGATGAACATGGTCATATTTTATATTGCAGTTTAAATTTAAATTTAATTGTTGATAAGTGAGTGCATTTTTGTAGGTTTATAAAACACTTTGTATTTCTACTGTCCACTCATATCCTTTATCCTTTTTTCCCCCCATGGGATTGTTGAATTTTTCTTACTGGTTTGCAAGTGCTTTTTACCTATTAACAATATGAGTCTTTGTCTGTCTTTTATGTTGCAGATATTTTTCTGAGCTTGTAATTTGTCATTAAATCCTTTTGCAGTGGTTTTTTTTTTTTTTTGCTGTAAAAAAGTTGTCAATTTTTATATAGTTAAATTTTGATCTTTTCTTAGACATTAATTCCAATTTTGTTACTCTTGTTCAGGTGTACTAACAGAACAAGCAGCAGGACCTTTGGGACAGAATCTAGAAGTGGAACCATACTCACAATATAACAATGTTCCGTTTCCGCAAGTTCAACCACAGATTTCCTCGTCATCCTATTATTCCAACCTGGGTTTCTACCCCCAGCAGCCTGAGGAGTGGTATTCTCCTGGAATATATGAACTCAGGCGAATGCCGGCTGAGGCTCTCTACCAGGGAGAGATCGAGGTAGCAGAGATTCCTGTAGCAAAAAAGGCCCGAATGGGTGCATCAGCAGGGAGAATAAAAGGGGATGAGTTATGTGTTGTTTGTGGAGACAGAGCATCTGGATACCATTATAATGCACTGACCTGTGAGGGGTGCAAAGGTAAGCATCTCTGGTTGGCCATTATCTCCTTGAGGTTTTACTCTATTGGTTGTTGAAATCCCTCAGACTGGATTCTTCCCTTTTCCCAGATAACATCCCATTTTCTCTTCCTCCACTCCTACCTGTTCTAAATCTCTAGGAAAAGCCTTTTAGTGTATTTAGCTTATATATAAGTAAACTATTTCCTATTTACAACCTCTCATATGGTTAAAATAAATTTATAGATTATGGGGTTTTTCTGTTTGTTTTTGAGAGCGAGCGAGCAGGGGGAAGGGTAGAGAGAGAGAGGGAGAGAGAACCCCAAGCAGGCTCCACACCCAGCTCAATCCCACAGTCCTGAGATCACAATCTGAGTCGAAACCAAGAATTGGGCGCCACTCAGGCGCCCCTGTTGTTTTTTGAAAGAAAGAGAAACTGTTGAACTCATCTCTTTTAAAACTGAGATCAAAGAGAATAAGACTTTATTATCTGATGTATTTATTATACCTCAATAATAAACCTTTTAGTTCTAATACTTCACTCCCATTTTATAGATGAAAAAAGTGCAGCACAGGAGGTTAATGAACTTACTCAAGGCTTCACAGCTAATTAGAAGTGGAGCTTCAAATCTACAGCTTATAAATCTAATTCCAGAACTTCTGCTGTTGACCACTAGGCTACCCTGTCTTTTAATCCTTGGCTACTGAGTGATCATTCTACTCTGAGCTATTTGCTCAAGGCTAATATTGACTAAATCAATGGACAAAGTATTGGTATTGTCTGGGCCAATGGAATAAACGCCTGAAGTCAGTAATCTGGGTCCGCTCACCTCCTTACAGGTGAACACTGGTGAAACCTGGTCCTCCCAAGAAGAATCTGGGGCATCCAGGTGACTGGAGTGAAACCAGTATGCCTAGGACAACCCCCCAAAACACTGATTTTAAAAGCAGGCAGGGGACGAATCTCCCCTAAAGTTTATAGAAGGAAGCCAGAGATGGGGTGGGGACCAGGAAATTGTGGGGTCATAGGACACAAGGGGACAGACAAGTGCTCAAGAGAGAACCCATCCTTGGGGGAATTCGGGAAGAAAAAGCTGGATCTGGATGTAGGTATAATTTTTAAGAACAGAGAAAGGCAGAGCTTTTTCACTGATTCTGATCTGAGACTTTGCTCCCATGGTGGGAGCAAAAGGACCAGAGTGCAGGGAGAAGATGAGATGGAGCCAGGAAGAGCCTGTGTTCTACATCAGGGGTTGGCAATGTTTTTTTCTGCAAAGAGAGAGTAAATATTTTAGGCTTTGCACCATAGCGGTTTCTGTTGTGATTACTCAACTCTGCAAACACACCCACATAAAGAAGGGGCATAGCCATGGATTTATTTAACCTAAAAAAATAGGCAAGGAAATTAAAAAACAACAACAACAACAAAAAAAACAGGCAGTAGGCTGAATTTGGCCCATAGGCCTAGCTGTAGTTTGCTGACCCTGTTGTAGACCAATGACTCTGGAGGGTGAGTGTGAGAATTAACTCGAAGCTGGGTAGCGAGAGAGTACAACACTCAGGGCATGGATATGAGACACATAAACTCATTTTGTATAGCTGGATTGAATTCATAGAAACTGTATTTCATTCAATTCAGGGTTATTCTACTCACCCCCCCAAAAAAACCCCACCTTTCTCTGGGGTTTTGTCTAAATTCCATGATTATGCAGCATTGTGGAGGGATTGGACACTGTGGGTGGGGCTCTGGTTTTCACCGCTGTTAACACAGTGGAGAGTCTGTTGGGTGTTATTCTAGCTGGTCTTCAGTCACCAGTGGGAAGGGTCTCTGAGGCTCCATTGTGGGGTCTTGAGCACACTTCTCCTTCCTGTCGAGCCTACCTCCTGTCCCACAGCTCAGGTGGTGGGTTCCTGATGTTCTGCCAGTGTGGTGCTTGCGTGTCTGGCTGCCCAGAGAGACCATTTCGTCTGCTCCTATGCTGCCCTGAGGACAGGCAACCCCAGGTTGCCTCACCAGGCTGTCTCCAGGAAAGGGCACAAGAATTTTTCTGTTCTAGGATTCCTGAATGACATGGAGTTTCTATAATCTTTCAATACACACATCTCAGGGTGCAGTCTGGGCATGAAGGTGGGAGGGACAGAGCTCAGGGCCTTCTCATGCACTTAACATGTCTTGGCTCTTTTCATTTTCTCTTTATTTGTCTCCCAACTTGGGGAAATTTAGTGTCTGGGGTCTTGAGGCTTAGGCTTTGGTGACTAAAAAGCCAACAATGAACTCCTTTGTGCTTTGTATATGTTCTCTTGAGGAAACAAATGAAAATGATCCTAGCTTAGTGAACAGGGAGGAGGTTCACAGCACAGAGTAGAGTACAAGGGAAAGAACCAGTACCCCATACCAGGTAGGCCTAACAGCTTGGCCAGCTCGGTCCCCCACACCCCTTGGGTATCTGTGCTTACCAGATACAAAATGAATCTTACTCCGTAGCTTTCCATCAAAGGAAGGGTGTGGACTTTTGGGTTTCACAAGCATGCATTGAATCTAGACTGTCATTCGTGGCTGAGTAAAGATGTTACTTAATATATCGGTCAGAGTTCAGTGAAATAAAACAGAAAACAAAATTTCAAGCAGTAAGGAATTAATACGGGAGAAGTTAGAAGAGCAGAGGAGCAGGTTCTATGCTGAGTCTCCAAGAGGATGCTCGGGGTCACCCTGTAGAACTGGTCTGCCAGGGAATTGCTGTGGTCAGGAAGATGGGGAAACAGGAAGCTAACACAGAGCTGTTGGCTCCAGAAAGGCACTGCCTTAGCTGCCATCTAGGGATCGGAAAGCTGCCTGCACCATAATTACTGGCTCCAGAGTGATGGCTTGTCAGCTAAATCTAATATACACATTATGAATGCCCTGTCTTGCCTTTCAATGCCCTCGAAGCTAGCAACTAGAAACCAAGACGCCACCACAGCACAATTCCACAGCCCTGCTTGCCAGCAGAGACAACAGTCTTAAAAGGGCATCTGTCCCGCAGAGCTTAAATCATATCCACAACGTTAGCTGCAAGGGAGTCTGGGAAAGACTGTGTCCCATTTTCCTGCTTTTACAATAGAGAACATACACTAGAGTAGTAGGTGTCGTGGATATCCGGCCAGCCAATTCTTAGTTTATGGAATATTTTGCTTCTCTGAGCCTCCATGCTGCAAAAAAAAAGGGTAGTATCTATTTCACAGGGTCTTTGTAGATCCTGGCAGCTCTCTTGCTTTAGGACTTTGATGCAGGTCTGTCAGACTGGTGATCCTTACACACACACACACACACACACACACACACAATTTTTCAAAACTTAAAAACAAAACAAAGATCATGGTTAAACACCCAGATTTCATTGGTCTCATGTTAGAAATATTTTAATTTTAATGAATGTTCTATTGTCGATATTTACAGCATCAAGGAGAGATATTTCAATACATTTTTAAAAATAATAATTGTGAGAACACAAGCATAACACAGTGACAGTGACTGCCATTTGCTTAGCACTAGATTACTTCAAGAGCTTTCTTTTCTCCCCGTTATCAGTGGGGCATATGAAAATGTGCTAATGTGTAGATGAATTTTGATTCAAACTTCAAGCCTCAACTAACAAAACTGATCTGCATCTGACTGAAAATTTCAAATGGCTGCATTTCCAAATAGGTCAATGTCAGTCACATCCATCTCCAGGCCGGGAGAGTCTACACCTATCAGCGAGAGAATGGTAGAATTCTTAAAAGGCATTTTATGAGTAAATGGGTGTCCTTTTGAACATATTCTGACTTAGTTCTGAAGTTCTAGGAAAGACTTCATAGTTGTTGAAACTATTCTGGTGTGTGGAATAGATGCAGAGTGTTTCCAATGGGCCCTTTGTTTATGGGTCAGGGCTGAGATGCCCTGACCGCGCATGAAATTCCTAAAATCCTGTTTGATTTTGAGATCTGATTTTATAAAATCTGATAACGATCCTACTGAACTCAATAGGTCAAATTATCTTAGAGTGGGATGCAAGGGGGTGGGGCTTAAACTATATCACCGCATTGAAAGCCTTTTGTAGTAAGTGTTATAGAAATCACAAGAGGAATCAGATTCTGACAGCAGACAACCCAGATTTCAACACCCCCTTCCCCACCGCTGATTCTCTTCCCAGATGTCCAAGTTACTGAATGTCTGGGCTTCAGACTTCTCTCCTATAAAATGCAGATAATAATAAAGATGAGGAGGAGGAGGTTGAGGTTGAGATGAGGATGATGGTGGTGCTGCTGATAGATAAGATATATCAAATGATTATTATATGCAGGCTTTATCTGGGACTTTACCTGTACTAACTCATTCAATCTTCAGGACCACCCTTTGAGGTAGGTACCTAGGGGTTGGGGGAGGATTAAACAAGATAATGTGTGTAAAGCAATTAACATAGTACTTACCTATGGTGAACCCTCAATAAATGTCCATTATTATTACTATTATCATTGAATAATTGTGAAGAAAAAATGAGACATTGTTTTTGAAACATCTAGCTCTATGCCCGGAACACTTGAATGCTCAATAAGCATTAGTTATTGCTGTTTTGTTGGTGAATTCTTATAATTTTATTGTTATTTTTCTGTTCATCCAGCCTCCCAAACTTTAATCATAAACAGTCTTCAAAACTATTTCTCTTCCTATTAATTAAGCCTCCAGCTTCTGAGAGTTTGAATTCATTAATTCAGTTCTTTATTCAGCTACTATTATTAGGGACCAACCATATGCCAGGCACTATTCTAAGCATAGGAGATGCAGTGGTGAACAAAACAGACAAAATTCCAGCTCTCTTAGTCACCATTTTAAAGCAAAGCCAGGAAACAGTTTATATAACTGAACTAAAATAGACAAAAAGAGAAAACAGTAAGACAAAAAAATAAAAGATTAACCAATATAAAAGCAATGAAATAGTATCAAAAAGAATATACAGAAAAATTAAATGGTAAAAGGATGATTTCCAGTGGATAAAAATTGAA